AGCCTTGGCATGACATTTCCAACATAGTGGTTTTACTTTTTTCAACGATTCTTAAAATGCATTGTTTTCTGAATCAATCAAGACAAATTTTATTATTTCTGGACAATGAAAACTTGATTTATAATGCAATTGAACATTATTGGCGACGTCGTTTTATTTTGCGTTAGTGACGACGTAATTTCAAAATGGTACGTCACACGGTTTAAGCTGGATGACATATACTCTTACTTGTATATATGAATCTTATTACGTAAGATGCATGCAGAATTTAAAATTAAAATTATTGACAAGGTAGCTCAAAATTTTAATAATGACTTCTGAAGTATTATTTTAGTGATTAGTTTGTCTGTGCTATGCCTTGCGCCCTGAACAGTTTTTGTTTGGGGTCCTCCTTGGCTTCTTGCCACTGGGTCGTGTAGGGGTTGCGTTCAATGAACGCCGTCTTTCCTTGTTGATCTTGTTTATCACATTTTATATTTTTTTCTGGTCCTTCGGGATCATTGATTCCAGCACCTTTAAGTGTAAAAATTGTATGCTAGGGGGCTTGAAGTATGTTGCATTTTGCATGTTTCCGCTAGATGTGTTCCAAGACAGTTTACTGAGGACTAGAACGGACCAGGCTTGACATTTCAAGATTTTTTTGTCGCGCTACGAGGATGAACTTGATTTTATCTACCGGATCGTAACTCAGGCTGTAACATTGGTCCATCACTTCGATCCAGATTCGAAAAACAGAACATGCAGTGAATAAACGTGCTGTTATGTAGATAATGTAGTATGCACGGAATATACACCGTGGGTAACCGACGATGGTCGACGTATAACATTAAGACATTTGATTGTACACACAATTAAAACATAACGGATTAGTCAACACGCATTCATGTCAGGGGACTATCTCATCAGAATTTTCAAAAATTTTAAAGAAACAAACTAAAAGAAATCTATTATATACTTGCGATAATATATTCATTAACTTATTGTGCTTAACAACAGTTGAGTAGTACTAGTATATATTAACATACAAAATAAAATAATCGTTTCGTTACATATAATCTGGTTATCTCACTCTGGACAGATAACCCGATTGTATATAGACAGATCCAAACTATTTCAATATTTTATAATGCTACTGTAAGGGAAGTGTTCTCTGGGGAGGCGTTCTCTTTGGAGGACATGCATAATTGAGAAAATCGGGCTTGGAATAATTTTTGGGATATTGTCTGGATATATTTTTACGGACTGAATCATATTTATATAAATGTAAAACTTTTCATAGTCGGCAACTATCTCGGGGAATTTGCCTTTTGACAGCGTGCTTTATTATATTAATTTCACCTCTTTGAGAACGGATTGAAGATATTTTATATTTCCATTACGTACTTTTATATAACAATTTTAGCTATAAATTTTATTATATACCACTGTGCATTCATCTCCTGTTTGAACCCCATCTGTTTGGTAAATTACGTGAAGTGCCGTATGTATGGAATGTGTAAATTACTTCCTCTATACACTTCACAATATTTTACTTCAATATATATTTTCATTATTGTTATGAAATTATGAAAGTATAGAGCATGCTGCTAACATATGTTTGTTGATGGTAATTTCAGGGAAATTTTGTTTTCGTCTTAATTTTATATAAAGCAGGACGGATTTTCAACAACTTCAAACGTTTTACGCAAACATCAACTAATCTTTATTATTTACACTTGATTAAAGTATCCGTTATATAAAATAATGATATCCATGTGATTAGATATCTTCCTTCTTCTATTTACATTAAAGTGTTTATTCAAGTTTATTTACATATCAATCACGATATGTTACAATATAAAGAAATACTTGCACTGGAAAAAGAATAACAAAATCTAAGAATACATGTAATTATTGTTTAATTGTTTTAAGTAAGTAAGCCCTGAAGTGGTTTCTGTTGCAATGACAATATGTCAAGTGTTGTTTGAATAGATGGAATTAGATTTGTCAACACACAATTTCCATGAAATTTTCTTCCTTGATGATCACGATTCAACGAGTGTTTTGTCAGGGGTTCAAGGTTAGCAGCGCAGTTTGTATTTAATCTTTAGATTGTAAAACATGAGACATTTCTACCCATATTTTTAATCTGCGGAAAACCGTCATCATTGTGGTGAAAAAAATTATTATATTAGTGCAGTAACGAATTGATTTTTGCTTACATACATCGACATCGGATGTTGGCACTGTTTAAACACTGCCTAGTTCTGCTTGGAATAATTAAAAAACTGGCGTTAACTTTGACGTAAAGTTCCTACAATTACGCCAATTGACCACTGTGTTGGAAATGTCATGTCACGGTTCAATTATAATTTCTATAAACTCTTTAACTCTTTGCTTTTGAATGTTTCTGAATGCCTTGGTCCATAGAATTAACAAAATAAAAGCATGTGATTCATATAAATCCAATTAGATGCAATTTGTACTCACTAAAAATAAATTAATTAATGGTCTTAAAACTTTAAAAACATTTACATTATATTTTGCAGTTGAAGGAACATTGTTGGTCAAAGTCAACCCTTTTGAGATGACAGCGCAACTTGTTAATTCATTATCCTCTTTTGGGGTTTGACCTTAAATATGGACTGTTCTAGAATAAAAAGGGAAAAGAACAGTCAATATGAAAATATTGCAAAGAGAAAGTGGATTGTTGGAATCATACATTGAAGTGTAGTCACACAAATTTAAAGTTCATACCTCGGATTACAGATAGAATAGATACTTTTATTTTCAGTTTCAATCATTTACCCATTATCTCACAGGAAACCTTTGTTAACATAAGCTATATGTTCCTGGTTTATGCGCTGTATATTGATAATAATAGCGTACGGAGCATTTCGAGTAACGCTCTAAACGTGTTTCCTTATTTGCATTTGTTATTTTGTCATATAATCAAATATACTATGACAATTTAAAGCATGTGTTAGGTAAATTGTCTGAGAAATGATATTTATTGCGCTTGGAAATAAGTGCAATCAGCACAGTCACACTCAACAAAGATTTATTTTCATTAATGCAAGCAAATCACATTTAAACACTCGTGGCTATAAATTATTTTTCTGACACTCTGGATATGAAAATATTCAAGAATTTTAATCGGCTAGAGACCCTTGATATCACATATAATCTTATTTCAAAGGTAATATTATCTAAAAATAAAAATCTACGGTCGTTGTACATTACATGTAGTAGAAATAATTTGAGAACACTCCCGGACTTTAAAATCAAAGGAAACGAATCAAACTGTTTGTTACTTGGAAAAACTGCATCGTTTTCATTGTCTGACTTCGTGGGATCCAAAACTTATCTTGAACCCAATGAAACATTTAAATACTATCGAACTTCGGTCAAATATGATATCAAAATTAACAACAATTTTTCTTCACAATTTTATCTTAGGCCATGTTTTATCATTGAAAAACGCGATTTGGGGTAATTTCGGGTATTTTCATCATTTTCTGTTAATGAAAAAAAATCTATAAAACAACAATTTGACTTCAAAATTATATATTAGGCCATGTTTCAACATGGAAAAAAGCAATTTTGGGTAATTTCAGGTATTTTCATATTTTTCTTTTAACCCATTAATCGATATACACGCATTTTAACGCCTTTTTCACACCCATTTGTTGTCTCAAATGGTGAAAAATGCCTTATTCAGGCCCCGAACACTTGTTTTTGTTTGAGAAATGTTGTTTCAAAAGTGACTACTTTTTCGGTAGTCCCCCTTATCGCCAAGAAAATGTTGGAACTGTGAGGGGCTAAAAATGACTCCAGGTCGATTATAAGGTGACGTGTAACCATCGCTGAAAAGCCTTTTACTCTATCTCAATCCATTGAGAAGTTGAAGCACTTTGAAATCCAATTTGATGAAAAAAAATCAACGCAAAATAATTTTTTTGGCAATTTTGAGATTTCCCCTTGATACCATGGTAACAGGAAATTTAAGACTGAGCATGTCTTTACATAGGCAATGGTCAAGTTAACATTTGTGCCAAGTTTGATTAGTATTGAAGCAGTTTTTATAGTTTTATAGCAATTTGAACTTGTACCAGGATACTTTGCAATAAAAAAACCATTTTTCACAAAATGCTCATGCAGTAATGGGTTAAAGAGGTCCCACCGTCTTTTTACATTTTAACAGCATTATAATTTGTTTTTTGGATTTACTGTACCATTTGATGTAGGTCTGGTCAAATAACTAGTTTGCAAACTTCATTCGTTCATTACATTTTTTTCTTGAGAATATTTCTCATTGTACAAAAAAAAAAAAACAACAAAAAAAAAAACAACAAAAAAAACCCCAAGAGTGAGAACCGGTCCAACGCTTTTCACTTCAACTAGGCTAAGAATCGCATTATAAAAATCGATTTAATATTTCATTCAGAGTGCGGATTATCATCCTTTCAATATTATTAAGTTGATCTTTGCAAAAAATTCAAATTTTATGTTTTAGTGATTTAAACTTTAAACTTCTTGATGTGGTTCTCGCATATTCTGGCATTTATTTTGTTTAGAGAATGTGAATATGTATACTTCTACTTAATAACATTTTTATTTTAAGGGAGCACACTATCTGCATAAAATAAATTTTCTATGTATCATCCTCATTGAGCAAAACGGACAGTCTCTGCTCACGTTTTAGAATCATTGTCCGTTAAGTTGTTGACTTCAAACCACTTGCTTTTTCACTGCAGTAGGTTCGAATCCTGCCAGGGACTTTAGATTCTAGCATATTTAGAAATTTAGCTAGCTCACCGAACATCGGTGGTTCTACTCAAGTGCCTGCACGTACATGAAATAACACACAGAGGGGCACCTGAGGATTTCTCCACCAGTAAAGCTGGAAAACCGCCATATGTCCTCTATTGTGTTGGTGTGACGAAAACCCCAACCCTAAAATTATTTTATTATCAATATATTAATAATGAATACATATGTAATCCAAATTTAAATTGTTTCAATCTGGTCTTTGCTTTGCTTTGCAGATGGGCGAATATGTTATAACTCAAATCAAGTACAATGAAAACTCAAACTATCCAGATGACAGGGCACTTTGTTCCTTTCTTTATACTGTTTTTGGGATTGGTTTGGATTATCGAATGTACTGAATTAACCAAAGAAAACAAGAAGGAAGAGTCAATATTGAAATACTGCAAAGAAAAGGTCGAATATGGACATAATACATTGAACTGTAGTCACCAAAATTTAACGTTCATACCACGGATTACAGATAAAATAGATACTTTGATTTTCAGTTTCAATCATTTAACTAATATCTCACAGGAAACGTTTTTTAATATTAGTAATCCGGCCTTGATATTCAAGCTTTATATTGATCACAACAGTTTACAGAACATTACAGCAAACGCCCTAGACGTGTTTTCTAATTTGCATTTGTTATATTTGTCATACAATGAAATATACTATGACAATTTCAAACACCTTCTTGGTTCAATCTTTGCTAAAAGATATTTAACGCACTTAGAAATGACTGCAATCAGCACTGTAAATCTCCAGGAAGATTTATTTTCGTTACTGGGAGAAAATCATATACAAACATTGAAGGCTTCAAAGTATTTTATCAAAACTTTTGATATGAAAGTGCTCAGAAATTTTAATCGGTTAGGAGTTCTGGATATATCATATAATCATATTGAGGAAATTTTTTTGTTTAAAAACGAATATATGCATTCGTTCTATATTGGAAAAAACAACTTAAGGACACTCCCGGACTTCAGAATAAACGGTAACGAATCAAATTGTTTCCTTCCACGACTTGTGTTATTAAGTGCAGACGATAATGACATAGAAGAAATATCATCTGAAAGTCTCAAATGTTTAAGACACTTAAGAGTCCTAAACATCAACGGAAATTTAATACATATATTACCGAACAATTTCCTGTCACCATTGCTGAATATCCACACGTTAGAAATAATGTTACCAAGCACAAGAGGTTTAATAGTGGAACCATTTGCATTTAACTCGTCCTCGCTCGTGTCACTTACTCTACAATATCGTTTTTCTGCTTTGTACGTTTTCCAGTCCTTGAATAATACCTTTAAATTTTTGCCAAAACTCAGAAAATTGATGATAAATGGCATTTCAATGTTGCGATTAACCGACAAAGATATAATTGGATTATTTGCGCCGCTTCATAACTTGCGAGAACTGCGTTGTTTTAGCTGTCAGATATCACGGGATCCCAAAATTATCTTGAACCTAATGAAACATTTGGACACTGTTAACTTTCAATCAAATATGATATCAAAATTAAGTAGTGAAACATTCAAAGATAAGAACAGCCTAAGAAACCTGGACCTACGTTATAACCAACTTAGACATATAGATTCTACAGCTTTACCGATTTCACTTCTTAATAAGTTGCACCGCTTCGACATCAGCAAGAATCCATTTGTCTGTGACTGTAACCTTGAATGGTTTATTGCTTGGTTGCAATCAACACATAAACCTGGAACGATTTTAAGATACCCTAAAGATTATATCTGCAGCCTTCCAAAAGAAAAAACGAGAAGGCGACTCTCTGACATATCATTTACGTACAGAGAATGTCATCCTTGGGACACGTGGATTTGGGTCGCTATCATTGCATCACCTTGTGTTATTGTCATTTGCATTATCATCATAGTTGTATATAGGAATCGGTGGAACATTAAACATTATATCTATTTAATGCGAAAAAGACGAAACTACCAGGTTATTGAGGGAAATGATTTTGTATATGACGCTTTTGTTGGTTATGAAACCGAGGATTCAGCCTGGGTACGCCGTCGACTGTTACCAGTACTAGAGGAAGAAATCGGTCTGAAATTATGCATTCATGAAAGAGATTTTCAGCCTGGTGTCTTTATAAATGACAATATTGTCACAAATATGGACAAAAGTAGAACAATGATATTTGTTCTTACCAATGCCTTTGCACGAAGCGGATGGTGCATATTTGAATTAAAAATTGCACATTCTAAGCTGATCGAAGATGAAACAGAATTAGTGGTCATTTTGTTAGAGAAAATTGATGGAAGAAATATGAATCATTCCTTGAAATGCCTTTTTGATACAACAACGTACATTGAATGGACAGAGGATTTGGTTGGTCAGGAACTGTTTTGGGAGCAATTGAAAAGTGTTCTTGTAAAATGATTGCGAAACAAAGTATAATAGCCCCTGTTATGTAGGGCATTGGTCTTATTAATCAAGAAGTATAGTGAGAGGATATTTCTTTCGTTTGTGTGAAATTTTGAATCTATTTTCATGAAACATTACAAAGTCCATATATTTTTACAAGCCGGGGTCGTCAAAGTATATTTGACTAATATAGCACCATACTTTATGCGTAAAATTAAAGTCTATAAAGCTATATATCTGCTGCAAAAAAGTATTTTTAGCATTGTAAAAAAGAATACTTCTAAAAGGCTTGTATGAGATAATCGAATGATGCATGCACAAAATCTTTTTTAAACGTATTAAACCCAACTTAAAATAGCAAATAATATTTTGTTCCGGAACAGTTTATTTGTTTACGTACACTATTCATGTTAATCAAATACTAGAAACAGAGACATTCTATGTTACAACATTTTCGGGAATCAACCATATTATATGATAGACTTTATAAAAATATTTCATAAGATATAAATATATACCCTTTGAATTATTGAAGATATCAATGAAATTATTATTTTCTGCGATTTTATATTTATCTTTAAAAATGAAAACATTAAAGTTAGCTTTGATGGCAAACATGTGAAAAATAATAGTTTAAAATTGGGATAAAGAGTGGTCATATACATCAAAGCAACAAAAAATTATGCCCTACTAGCTTTTTTATCTCGTTTTACCAGCCTGTATTTTGATATTGGATATGAAACAAGACAAATTATTTATGAAATCGGTGTTGTCAACAAAATACGAACATTTTTACGAAAACACAGCTTAACATTATGCAATGTTATGATACCATAGCACAGCCTACTAGTGCAAATTGGGTAAATACAACATTGTGTTTTATCAAAATGATGTCAGCTTCTTATAAGAATATATTTTAATGACATGACTATGCGAAAAGGGGCGAGGAAACGGATTTCCATGCCTTTGTCTATAAAATTATCTTTCTTCTTTTGTGTTTTTATATGTTGAGCAATGGATAGGAAACTGCCGCCTATATGACTGAAATACTGTTGGGAAAAGGCGTAAAAGAAACAAATAAACAAACAAACAAAATATGTTGAGCATAAATATAATCTATTTGTAAATATTATGTGAGTCACAACATTGTTGTAAATATTTATTACGATTTTCCATATTCAACATAATATTAGCATTACAGATATATTAAATAAGTGTACGTAAGTTTATGTATCTTTATCATCTTATAATTTACAAATAAAAGTTACAATGCTTTATTGTTTTTGTCAGCCTTTCTCTGTTTTTACTTTTGGCATCAGAAGACATTTATCAGACATAGATTCTAACATTAATCTGCAACAAGAAAGGAACGTGCATAGGTTTGGCAACTTTCCCCCGCAATAATCCATGTACATTGATTGTTGGATCTGGAAAGAAAAGAAACAGATTCATCGGAAAATGTAAACGAAAAATGTCGAACATCGAAGAGTCGATTTAATTGACTCTGATCTCGAGAGAGCCAATATCACGCCCAGTAAAAGTGGTTTGCACTCCTCAACAGTGAAAACCCATGAATAAATGATTCCGGTAAAATATAAGAAAACTGAGATGAAATAATATTTAGATGTAATTACGTTAGGTAAAGTCGGTCTGAAAAGAAAGATTCCACATTATGTAAGACAATGACATACTCTGATCTTCTACCGGCCATTTTGTACAGTATACGAATAAACAATGTATAGCAAGCTATAAATACAACTAAAGTAAATGTATTTTAATGAATTGGTATCAATGTTAAACTAACATGTACATATACCCTTTAACTTTCATTTCCTAATGTTTCTTTTGCAATTTTGAACAATATAATGTTTAGATGCATCGTATTTGAACACTCTTCGTATCTATTAGTTACATGTAAAATGTTCACATCTGTAGTACAGTATGCAAAGATTTCAGCAAACAGCTATTCACTCATTTCATCACATTTTTCCACAACTAATTTACTCACAATATGAAAATTCAAATTTCGTTCATATGGTAATCTTCTGCCTTTATAAGTTTGTTTGTCATAACTTCTAGAAGGTGGCTTTTTTCAATGGATTGTTTGTCTTTTTTTCTAAATTCTTCAGGTTGATATTGATATTCTTTGGTTAAATAATTTAATTCCAATGTTTCGTAATTTTTGTTTTAATTGCTCAACTTTCAATAACATTATCGGCTCAGATGTAATACATTCTCAACTCAGTAACTCAGATTTATTTTTTAGTTTTCCGTTACTATAAATTCTGAAGGAAATCTGTATTATAGTATTCGAATATTCTACTGCAACTTGGGTTGTTGACTTTTCTATTAGAAAAATTCTTTAAGTGGATTAAAAATCATTTATTGGTCTAATGACTTCTTCTCTTGCTTTTCGCTGTCTGAATTTTTCCGTCTGTATTGAAGAGCTAACATAATTCTTTTATTAACCATTTTAATGATATCCGCTATCATTGTCTCTAACACTTGCACATTTTAATGAACCACCCAGCTAGAAGAATATGAAACTTAAGATGGCAGCCTCACACGCAGGAGATCAGATTTCAGTATCTGATAAGTATCGTTTTTAAAATACTTTCTAATATAAATTGCGTCATTTAAGTAAACAATATATTATTTTATTATATGTAACACATCTCCAAACATAGGACCACCAACAAGCAGGACACCAAACAGGACAGGGCACACGTGCAAAAACAAAACACAAAACAATCAAAAACGGACGCGATGTCTACATGGTAATTAAAGATGAACCTAAATAAAAAAGACATACAAAAGGATAAGGGCGTGTGTTAAGGAGGCAAGTAAGACGGTGTGGGGTTGAATTAAAGAAAAAAACTAGAGGAAAAGGGAATACACTCATCGAAAACGAAATAACAAGAAGGGACACCATAGATTGAAATTATTGAAAGTCGACTAACGAAATGTCTCAATGAGCAAGAATTAAGGCTTTGGAAGCTCACTCTTTATGTCTATCGTTTACTACTCAGCTACTTAGCTTTAGCTATATCTAAGAAACCTGGACGGTAACTCAGACTTGTATTTTTCCCAAGAGGATCCATCTTTTGTGTGCGAAAATATTTTAACAATGACTTAAAATTTTGTTTCATACTATATTAACAAAAGGAAATCAGTTATTTTATCAATGTGTCATAAGACCGTTTTAAAGTCTACCATTGCGAATTATAAAAAAACATAATGATCGACAAGACAGACTTTGATTCCAAATATCGTAGTCATTTAACAAATACAGATTTAAACAACAGATAAAACAAGTAAAATAACTGTAGTTAGTAAACACAAACATAATACAGTTATCAACTTATATATATGATTTAAAGATGAAGTTAATGTATCAAAACATTTAACAAAAAGACAGATTTTAGTGTTTTAGTGAAGAAATCATTTCGAGGGCGGCATTTCTAACCTTTTCCAAAATAGTTGATTAGTTGACTTTATAACAAAGAAGGGAATACTCAAGACAAAATACAGCTAGGTAACTCTTATTGATAAAAGTTATTACTCATAATTATCTGTTAATTAAATATTTGTCCTTAACTTTCAGCATTAAACAATTTTAAATATCAATAATTATACAGTTATAAAACAATCTTCTAGCTTACGGAACGTCGGTGGTTCTACTCGGGTGCCCGTTCGTGCCTGAAATAATGCACGGAAGGGCACCTGAGGTCTTCCTCCACCACTTAAGCTGGAACGTCGCGATATGACCTATATGTGTCGATGTGACGTAAAGCCCAAAACAAACAAAAAACAAATAATCTCCCTAACAATTAGAATGAGCTCTTAAAAAGTCGTTAAATGTGGAATATTTATATCAACATATCTATAATCATTAAACATAAATGCTACAAAACGTTTTAAGTAACCATTTACATTTAAATTAGAAGTAATATAAATATAAATATCCAGTTCAACAATTTCGGCTTTTCCCGTTCAGAAACATATCATAAATCATTACCGATGATAGCAGTGAATAACTAGTCTTTTCTAAAAGTTAGATAAAATTCTTAATATCTTAAGAATTTAATTTCAATTGTGGTTTCTTATTGATTTATTAATAAATGATAATTTTTGATAAGTAACCATTAATTGTTTCTTTATTGGGTAAAGAAATTGAAGTGATCTGTTCTTAAAGAAGTTTACTGAATATTTTTCGACAAGCTGCAATGAAAGTTATAAAGGATTTTGAATGAGTGAAGGTTCAATACTGAATTTATTTAACGAGTTTTCTGATTGAAAAACAAATTGATTTTAAAAAGGTAAAATGTTAAAATATTTAGTGTATAAAAAGGAAAATATTACTCAATTACTTCCGTTGTTATTTTCGCAATCTATTAGTCACTGAGTTAGAATTATTAATCATTTATTTAATCGATTGTTTTTATTTTCAACTAATATGCCCCAGCCCTGCATAGCAATAAATTAAGTAAGCTGTTTAAAAACAGAAACAGAAACTAAGACTACAATACATTGTTTTCTTTCTTTGAAACAGTAAAGGAAGTATCTGATTACTCACCTTGATTATTTTATAAAGTGAGCTTTTATATATGTATCGGCACTTTATTGACGCAAACGTAGATGATTGTTTGATGAATATGAGTCTGACATATTGTTTAACTTATCTACTAGATTGACTAATGAATGTTTGTCATAAAGTTTCAGAACATATGACCCCATTCACACAAACTCTTAAGCTCTTACTTTCTTCAGACGCTTAAATATGAACAAAGATGATTTTAGCTAAATCGCAGTGAATATATGTTGTTTGCCATAACCAAAATGGAAATAATGTAACTGACCTCAACGGTGTAAGTTAAAAAAAACTTTTTGTAATAAAGTATTTAAAGGCAAATTATGATTCAGAATCGATTTTTTGTTAAATATTTGTTAACTGAAGCAATAAGCGCTAAGATCTTAAACACTTTGTCATAAATGTAGAAGATAATGTAAACAAAAGTATTTTGACTTCACCACAAAATTATCAATCACTATAAATGACCAATAAGTAGCTTTTTAAAAACTATAAAAGTACACCAAAAATGATAAGCGCAGTTCAGGGGCATAATGGGCCTTTAAGGAATATTTTAGTGTGCTGTCGTATAGTATAGCACATTTTTCAAAATTAAGATCATACCAATAAAACAAATTATCGTTAGCCTAAGCTTACGATTTGAGTTTACTCTAGTGGTGATCGTTAAACGCTTTGTCCCCTAAATTTACACTTTCTCGTAATTCCTAGTGGTATTGATCAAAAGTTTACATATTAAATAATAAAATCTTTAACTTTCATCAATCTAAATCTAATCCAAATATATAAAGAGCCGTGGCATGACATTTCCAAAATAGTGGTTTTACTTTTTTCAACGATTCCCAAAATGCCTTCTTTCCAGAATCATTAAAGGCAAATTTTATTATTTTTGGGCAATGAAAACTTGATAAATAATGCAATTGAACATTATTGGCGACGTCGTTTTATTTGGCGTTAGTGACGGCGTCATTCAAAAATGCTTAGACACACGGTTTACTCTAGTCTCGTTACTTTAATATTGGTGCCCCACTGGACACGGAATCATTTTATTACTACATATAATTATGAATAACTTAAAAAGAAGTTATAAATTATTTATCATTTAATGTTTAACCTGTCTTTGCCCTGTCCTGTTTTTGTTTAGGGTCCGCCTGGGCTCCTTGCCATTGGTTCTTGTTGCTGGGTCATATGGGGGTTGCGTTCATTGAACGCCGCCTTTCCTTGTTGATCTTGTTTATCATATTTTAAGCTGAATGACATATAATTCTACATGCATAAATGTATCTTATTACGTAAGACGCATGCACAATTTAATATTAAAATTATTTACAAGGTAGCTCACCTTTTTATATAATGACGTCTCATGTATCATTTTAGTGATGAGCCTGTCCGTGCTCTGCCTTGCGCCCTGTCATGTTTTGTTTGGAGGTCCTCCTGGGCTCCTTGCCGCTGGGTCGTATGGAGGTTGTGTTCATTGAAGGACGCATTTCCTTGTTGATCTTGTTTATCATATTTCATTTTTTCTGGTCCTTTGAGATAATTGATTCCAGCACTTTTAAGGGTAAAAAAATATGTGCTAGGAGCGTGAAGTACAAATGTATGTTG